CTACGTTCACGTCAGCTTGTTTCGGTGGTGGTGGTGGCGCCGGGTGTTGCGCAGTGATGATGTGCATTCCCACCATGCCAAAATGCCATGGGTAAGTTGGTCTCACCGCATCCACTAATTGTCCCCCCTCCACCTAGAGGGCGCTTGTGCAATGTTCAGTACAGCAGCGGAAAAGAGCTCGGATCAAACAAAAGACGTTCTCAATGGCTTCAGCTCACTTTATTCTCCTTCAGGTCAACAGTAACGGGAGCAGTAAATAGTGTTAGTAGATTCTTGGAGGTGGAAGCGGTCTAGAGGCGAAAATCGCCACTCGCCACACGTTTGGTCCGGGGATCGTGTCAGGGATCGGCTTGCTAATCCCTGTCACGATCCTGGGACCAAACGTGCTGAGCCAACCAAGCTTATTGTCCATCACTGGGTAACTAATTGATAGCAGACTCGTTGAGGGGTAAAACATTGACTGGTGCATTGCTTAGCCCCCACAGGTCACTGCATAGGCCATATCGCATCCAAAAGTCACTTCACTTATAAATGGAAATGAAATGGGCACCACAGAGCCCCCCTCCCCTTTCGGAGAATTCCGGAAAAGCAGTAGGAAGAATCTGATCTAGGACTCTCTGAGAAAGTGGCAGGAAGTTGAAAAAATCTGAGAAAGTGGTAGGTAGGATGGGAAAGGAGATCGTAATCTCCTCGCGTTTTTCTCATTTGACATGGGCCATATACGCCCCCCCCCCGCTCGACAGCTCGGTCTATCAGGAACTGGGAGCGGGGTCGTATTAAGTCACCCTTCAGGGGAAGGGGTCGTACGGGTTTCACAACCGTCGGCCAGTCATAATACTGCAGGATGTTCTTTGGTGTGCACGAGACTTTGGTCGACTTTGGCCTGATCCAAGATTTTTTCGCTGCTGTAGTTACTAATTTTACGACGAGACACTTCCAAAAATGAGTATTTCCATAGCGCAAAGTTTTTTTGCAGACGCTCATGCTCACCTGTGTAGCTCATGATGTGCGATAATTTCAGCTACTCCTTCGGTACAAGTATGTCGGGTGGATACGCCGTGGCGCCTTCATATGCTGTTGCTCCGCCATCTTATGCTGCTCCTCCTTCCTATGCTGCTCCTCCTTCCTACGTTGCACCTCCTTCCTATGCTGCTCCACCTCCACCATCATATCACGCCCCTCCTTCCTACCAGGCCCCACCATCATATCAAGCCCCACCTTCTTATCAAGCACCTGCTCCATATCAACCATCGTATAAAGGACCTGAACCGTACCAAATTTCTGCCTGGTGGCGTTCCACCTGCTCCTTCAATGCCATACAGTGTTACTCCACCTGCGGCGTCGTCATACGCTCCACCAGCCAACCTGATAAAGAGAGATGAGGAAGAGGTAAAATAGGTAAAGAAAGTAGTAATGCCAGAATTTCAATACACTTATTCCAGGTGAAGCAGATATCTGAACGTGAGGCCGTTGCAGCAGCGCCAGAAGTAATAAAGGTAGAGTCCATCTAGTAATATTACTTATTATTTGGGCTGCTTCTCCTTCGAGCTGCATAATTGGAAGAAGTAATCAAGCCTAACTGTAGACTAGTGTTAACCTCATAGCACGTATGCATTATTTCTCAAAACACATCCTTGTCCAGCTATTGTTCGGGCTTTCTAGCGCTTCATGGAAGTCCGAAGTTCTTGAAAGCTGCTCTCAAAGGCATGGTCCGCGATCAGGTATAGAAGCCGAAAATATGGCGTCGAGGGGTAGTGTGGTCCGCGACGAACAACCTTTGTACCGGTTTCGCGGCAAAAAATTGTAAGGGAGGGCGCTGTAGCGCAATATAGGTTCAGTGATGCCTTTTTCCAGTGACTCCGCCTCCAGACTAAGCTTTCAAAGCCTGCATTTCAGTGACCCCCCCCTCCAAAACGTCCGCAAAGCGAGAAAAATCAACTATAAAAATAAATTTTTCCCAGCCCAAATACGACCCCCCCCTTTTGGCGGCCAAATACGACCCCCCCATAGGGAATCCCCAACCAATGCTGTGCCCTGGATGGAGTTAGTTAGGCACGGCAGACTGTGATCATAGAGGGCTCTATCTAAGGCAGTTGGCATGTTTTTTCTGCTTTTTCCTTCACTATCGAGTTACTCAGAACCTTGTCATCTGTATGCAAACCCCTAATCCACTATCCGTGATGGCGAATGATCGCATGCTTTGCCTTTAAGAGGAGACCCCTGTTGTGAAAGACATCGAGAGATGTGTGGCAGTCGGTCGGGCGATTTCAAAGGCGATGGAATGAGCCCATCTGTTTCGTTTCTACCACATGTTGTTTTCTTCCTAAATCAACTACTGACCGATCACTACTGATAGAAGAGGCAGCCGAAGACGGGCTGTTTCCGTCCCTCCTGTCTCCACCCCGTCAGATCGCGATGTTATGAACTACAGGCGCTCACACATGCTAAAGCAGTAATGAGGCAAATAACCAAACGGCAAGTCAAGACCCAGTTGCTCCAGGCGAAAGCGGACACCACTAATGCCTTGGACTGGGTGCCTAACCGGACGATGGTCATTTCCTCAACTCACACCACTTTTAGGCCTTTGAAGAACCGATTGCGTCAAAACGGAAAGCTGGGAGTGAATCTAAAAATCTCAACAGGCGTAATACTGGCTATATAACCATAAGTAAACTAACAAGTCGTGATTTAAGGAGGAGAGAAATTTTTAAGCAGTTTGCTAAGTCTCGTAGGGAATCCACAGCGCCCATAGCGAGCAACCGTTGTATTGTGGTTCCAGGGACTGATACAGGGTTCGGGCGAGAGCATTATTGATGGACTACACGAAGTAATAACAACTGAAGGAACCTGACAAGGAGCGAGATAACCCAAGTGCCAGTTGATATCGTCACAATCAGTCATCGGTTTCATGAAAGCTTTATGAATTCATGAGTTCTTAATAAGCCCTGACGTTGCCGTCTCCGGTTGCTCTCCCTCTGAATAAATGTACAATACTTGATATATTGTTCCAGCCGTGCTTGGAATGTCTACAAAGGGAAATCTTCAACTCACTGTTGAACTTTGAGTGGAGACCTAGGCAGATCAACAGAGCTTGGAATGACTACATGAACAAAAATCGAAAT